ACCTCGCCCTGCCTGCGCATTCCCGGCCGACACCACTTCAGCCTCCCCAGGCGCCTGCCAGGCTCCAAAGCCGCCCTGGCCTCTTCCCAACTCCCGGGCCGCTCAGCACTCCGGGCGCCCGCAGAAGGCTCCCTGGACTGCCGGGCCCCAGTGGCACCCCACCCCACGACCCCCCTCACCTGACCCAGTCTCCTGCATCCCACCCGCACCCACCTCCTGGCTTCTGCTCTCTTGATCTGTTTTCTCCCCAGCAGCCCACTCCCAGGGAAGCCAGCAGCATCCCAGAGGTTCCCTTTGCAGCACTGCCCAGGCTCTGGCTGGAGGAGGGACCTCATCCCCTGCTGTCCCCAGTGCTGAAAGGCCCAAGTCCCAGCTCCCTGGCCCATGGGGTGCCATGTGTCCATCATGGGTGGTGCCAGTGTCCATCCAGCACAGGGCCTTTGCTTCCCTGGCGAGGCACATTGTCCTTTGGCCACCCAACCCCACCTCTGACCTTGCCACCCAGGTACCTGCTGGAGCAGCGCGACGTGGAGGTGAACGTGCGGGACAAGTGGGACAGCACCCCACTGTGAGTGTCAGGTGGGCGGGCTGGGTCTGGGGGGGTCCTGCCTCGCTGACAGCTGCTTCCTGTCCTTCCTTCCTTTGCACTCAGGTATTATGCCTGCCTGTGTGGGCACGAGGAGCTGGTGCTCTACCTCCTGGCCAATGGTGAGAGGGTCTCTCGTGTGTGTGGGTGTGTGTGCCTGTGTGCAAGCACGTGTGAGTGCACAGAGTGCCCTTATTGCTCTGCCTCGAAAGGATGCAAGGGGTATCTGGGTTTCCAGGTCACTTTGAGGCTTGGTGTGGGGAGCTGAGAGGAGAGGCTGGGAGATTGGGAGCCCCTGGACACTCGCTGGCCACAGGCCCGGCCCGCTGACCACTGAGCCCACACCCTAGGAGCGCGCTGTGAGGCCAACACCTTTGATGGTGAGCGTTGCCTCTATGGGGCGCTGAGTGATGCCATCCGCCGGGCTCTGCGGGACTACAGGCAGGTTACGGCCTCCTGCAGGAGGCACGACTACTACGACGACTTCTTGCAGCGGTGAGGGGACAAGGAGGGCTGGCGGGGGGCGTGCTGAGGGTGTGCACAGGCACCAGTGCTTGAAGGCTCAGTGAGTGCAGTGACAGCACCTCCTTCACTGTCCCCAGGCTCCTGGAGCAGGGCATCCACAGCGACGTGGTCTTTGTGGTGCATGGAAAGCGATTCCGGGTGCACCGCTGCATCCTAGGCGCCCGCAGCACCTATTTTGCCAACATGTTTGACACCAAGTGGAAAGGAAAGAGCATGGTGGTCCTCAGGCACCCCCTGGTGTGTCCCTCAGGGTGACAGACACCTACTGTCTGGGATAGCGGGGCTCATGCCAGCGGCTGCCTCTGACTTCCTGGATGTCTCTGCCTGCAGATCAACCCCGTGGCCTTCGGGGCCTTGTTACAGTACCTGTACACAGGTGATGCCCGTGCCAGGGTGGGGAGGGCCGGCCTGGGTGACCTGTCACTCCTGCACTGCCATCTCCGCAGTGTGGGGAGGTGGCAACGGCTTCTGGGGTTGCCTTGCAGGGTGGTGGGAGAGCCTGACCACCTGAAACAGCCTTGTTCTGTCCCCGTGGCCTTCTGGGTGGGGAGACCAAGGAGCCTGGGGCAGCTGGGTGATGCCATCTAGGAAGCCCTTTCTCTGTGCCCTGATGCCTAGCGCTACCCGCAGGCCACCTGGACATTGGTGTGGAGCACGTCAGTGACTGTGAGCGCCTGGCCAAGCAGTGCCAGCTGTGGGACCTGCTCAGCGACTTAGAAGCCAAATGTGAGAAGGTTTCTGAGTTCGGTGCGTGTAGGGCCCCAAGCCGAGGGCCATGGCTGGGCCAGGTGGGACCGATCTCCTCCTTGAGGTTGCTGTTGCCCCACAGTGGCATCCAAGCCGGGCACATGTGTGAAGGTGCTGACCATCGAGCCCCCGGCCACCGACCCACGGCTGCGGGAGGACATGGTGCTGCTAGCTGACTGTGCCCTTCCCCCTGAGCTGCGCGTGAGTGCAGGGGGGGTGGTCTGATCTTCGGGTGACCCTGGCTGGGCCCCTCTCTTTGGGGCACAGACTTGACTGGGTCCCCTCTTCTCCCCAGGGTGACCTTGGGGAGCTGCCCTTCCCTTTCCCTGATGGCTTCAACAGCTGCCCGGATGTCTGCTTCCGCGTGGCTGGTTGCAGCTTCCTCTGCCACAAGGTGCCCATCCCCTCCCCACTGCCCTGGGCCCTGGGCTGGTCCCTTAGGGGCAGACCCCGGCCCCAGCACTTCCTCAATCTGGCCTCCCCCAGGCCTTCTTCTGTGGCCGCAGCGACTACTTCCGGGCCCTGCTGGATGACCACTTCCGGGAGAGTGAGGAGCCCGAGGCCTCGGGGGGTCCCCCAGCTGTCAGCCTGCATGGCATCTCGCCCGAGGTCTTCACGCACGTGCTCTACTACGTGTACAGTGACCACACTGAGGTGCGGGCTGGGAGGGATGTCGGGCGCATGGTAATGCTTCAGGAGGAAGGGGAAGACAGGACGAGGGGTTTCCTTTTTTGAGAGCCAAGAGATTGCACCACCCATTCCTGCGTGTGGAGGAGGGGAGGGGAATCCTGGTGGCATCTGACCTCCCAGCCGAGGAAACGCAGGCACAGAGGGCCGCAGAGCTGCCCAGGGTCCCACAGCCAGCAGGTCTGAGCCGAGACCCATGCCCTGGGCCTGGGCCTCTTTACCCCTCTGGCCCAAAGATCCCACTGGAGGCCGGGTGCGGGGAGCCCTGGCTGACCGCGGGGTGCACCTCCACCCTTCTGCCGCAGCTGTCCCCAGAGGCAGCCTACGATGTGCTGAGCGTGGCCGACATGTACCTGCTGCCCGGCCTGAAGCGGCTGTGCGGCCGCAGCCTGGCGCAGCTGCTGGACGAGGACAGCGTGGTGGGTGTGTGGCGCGTGGCCAAGCTCTTCCGCCTGGCTCGGCTGGAGGACCAGTGCACGGAGTACATGGCCAAGATCATAGAGAAGGTGGGCCA